GCATTTCTTTCCTTTTTTTTTTTTTCCCCCCTCTCTCTCTCTTTTAGGTGGATTCACGACAGCTCATCAGGTCCCTGCTATATCTTCCGTGTCGCAGTCGGCTTACTCCCCTCCCACTCCAGACACCCCAGATTCGGTCCTCTCCACCCCACTGCAGACGCTTATAACCAAGGCTTTGCCTCCCACTTCACACAGCACCCCTGCGCTGATGGGCCTGCCCCCTACTCAACCGACTGCAAAGGTAAGACCACCTCTTTCCTAATCACATCTATTTATGCAAATCAGTTTTGATATGCAACAATACCTAGTTGGAATACCAACAAGTTTGTTTGCGTAAGTGCAGTTTTTTCACCATTCTTTCAATAGAAAAAGGGTGTCAAGCGCAAGGCAGACACAACCACCCCCACCACCACAGGCATGCCGCTCGCTATGGGTGTAGGTGGCATGGGTCTCGGCATGGGTGGCGGTGACTCCCCGCTCACGCTCTCCACTTTGGGTGTTGACCCCAATCAGAGCCTGTCCCTTGGCCTGGGCATGAGCCTTGGCGGAGGCCTGGTTGGAGACAAAGTACCGGCAAGACGAGGTGGCAGTGGCAGGCCCATCAAACCACCACGAAAGGACTTGCCTGACTCCCAGAACCAACATCAGCCGGTGCGGCGTGGGAAGCTAAGCCAGCAGCTACGGTACTGCAGCACGATTCTCAAAGAGCTGCTGTCGAAGAAGTATGCGGCCTATGCCTGGCCCTTCTACAAGCCGGTGGACGCTTCCTCACTGGGACTGCACGACTATCATGATATTATCAAGTGTCCTATGGATCTAAGCACAATAAAGGTGCGTGTAAAGAGATATATTACGATATAAAATCCCACCATGTGCACGATCAGATCTACATGATTTTTTCATGATCTTGCAGAGGAAAATAGATCATCGGGAGTACAGGGATGCATTGCAGTTTGCTGCTGACATCAGGCTAATGTTCTCAAACTGTTACAAGTACAATCCCCCAGATCACGATGTGGTGGCCATGGCCCGAAAATTACAGGTATGGACATAGACAGGCTTTATTATGATTTCATTTGAGCAGAATATCGCATTGGTGATTGCTGAACTCCAACTTATGTGTTTGTCAGTGTTTTCAGACCGTCAGCACTTTTTTTTTGCAAGGCAGAGAGAGCATGTGCATGGTTTCCAGATTGGGAAGATTAAGTAAAACACTTTACCCTTTAAGGGAATTTAAACTCTTGACATCTGGCCACCACAAGCTTTTAAGTAAAAAATTAAAGTTTGTGGAAGCTTGTTACCAATGCAAGATAACAGAAATGTCCACTTTACCCTTTAAGGGAATTTAAACTCTTGACATCTGGCCACCCCAAGCTTTTAAGTAAAAAATTAAAGTTTGTGGAAGCTTGTTACCAATGCAAGATAACAGAAATGTCAAAAAAAAAAAAACATTTTCAGAATAAATAACTTGATGATTATGCTTAGTTAATCGAGAGAACCAGAAATGATGATCGTGACTGAAATACGATTAATCGTGCAGCCCTACTTGCACTTGCACATTAAAATCTTGTCCAAAATTGGATGTTAAAAATGTCTTCTATTTCAGGATGTCTTTGAGTTCCGCTTCGCCAAGATGCCAGACGAACCCCTGGAGTCCCTCCCACCTGCGTCCCTAAGCGGCGGCCTGGGCGGTCACTCCTCCTCTTCCTCATCCTCTTCCTCCTCGTCATCAGAAAGTGGCGTGAGCAGCGAGAGTGAGAGCGAGAGCAGCCCGAGCTCCGACAGTGAAGAGGAGAGAGCGCATCGCCTGGCCCAGCTTCAGGAACAGGTGTGTACACAGGTAGCGACTGAACTTTTCCAACAAAGTCCGCTAAACCGGGACTGACAGATTTGGCGTAGTTGTACATTTACTGAGAGCTGCAGTGGTCGTGGGTTTAACACTCACTCACTCGCTTGTCTGCAGTTGAGGGCGGTGCACGAGCAGCTGGCCGCGCTGTCCTCTACACCCATCATCAAGCCCAAGAAGAAGAAAGAAAAGAAAGACAAGAAGAAAAAGAAGAAGTCAGAAAAACACAAGCGGGCCAGGAGTATGATAGAGGACGATGTACTCATCCAGCCGTCCAAAAGGCCAAAACTCTCCAAGACACCAAAGAGCAGGAGCAGCAGCAAAGCGGCGACATACACTCAAGGCAAGAAGGGCTCGAATAAGAAGAGCAGCAAGAGCAAGTACGTCTCACATACACATTTACTGCGTGCCTAATTAATTTGAACCTGAAAATCAACAAAACATAAACTTGTCTTATTTCTTTCCCTAGATCCTCAAAGAAATCACAAGCCGCCTCCTTTAACCCTCAACACATGAGCCAGGGTGGTCTTACGCCACACTATGACTCTGAGGAGGAAGAGGAGACCAGCCCGATGAGCTACGATGAGAAGCGGCAGCTCAGCCTGGACATCAACAGACTGCCGGGTGAGAAACTGGGCCGCGTCGTTCACATCATCCAATCGCGAGAGCCCTCGCTGCGTGACACCAACCCCGAGGAGATCGAGATCGACTTTGAGACGCTCAAACCGTCCACACTGCGTGAGCTGGAGCACTATGTCATGATGTGTTTACGGAAGAAACCACGGAAACCTAGCGGTAAGAGCATTTCGATTCAGATGGATTCAAACTAGGGCTGTCGATTTAACTTGATTAATAATTACATTTATTTTTGTATTAATTAAATTATTTATATTTATTATTATTTTGTGTGATTTAATTATGGAAGAAATAACATATTAAAATGTTACAATTAGTTTCTGAATAAGTCAGAAGTTTGAATTAATCTGTTGGTTGAATGAATCACTGACTCTTAAGAATGACCTGCTCGTGGTTTTAGTTTCATTTTGAGAGCATTATATCATTTTTTTTTTTTTTTTAATAATTTCATATTTCAGTATTCTTTTTTTAAAACATGAATATCCATTTATTAACATTATGCCATTCTGAATCAATTTTAATTTTTTCTTAATTTTCTTATGTCTATTGAATGCTTTTCTCATCTAAAAACAATAATGACTTTATATGATCTTTTTAGGGGGGTGGATGGTTTCTCAGCCCAAATGTACTTGTGATTCAGTGTTTTCCACGGACTTCCACTCTGTGTGGCGGCACTTCCCCTGGGGGAAATATAGGCTATATATAAAACAGCTAAGTGTGGCGGTCCGCCACAAATAAATCAATGCATCGGAATCACTGTGATTAATTAGATTTATTATTTGGCACATCATGTTATTAATAAACATAATAATATAAAACCTTTATAGCTTGACAGCCCTAATTAAAACCCTTTTTATATTTATGCCATTGATTTGCTAAAACGATATGAGCTTCCCTGGAAAAAGGAAGGTTTGTTCTTGAGCAGCTGATGGAAATCTGATACTAGACGTTAACCCATCATGCATTGTGCAGCCCCACCTTTCCTGGTTTTATTCAGCACACTTTACAGGTAGACAGCAATCTGCTATGAACGAACACAACGCTGTTCTTTCATTCCTCCACTGATGTAGATGTCAGAAAGAGGCCTCTCCCGATTAACTATACTAATATTGGTGCAAGGATAAATAATTACATGAAAAATACACTACTGTTTAAAAATTTGGGGTTGGTAAGATTTTTTTAATGTTTTTGAAAGAAGTCTCACCAAGGCTGAATTTATTTGATCAAAAATACAGTAAAAACAGAAACAATATTGCTGCAGTTTAAAATGACCCTTCTTTATTTGAATATATTGTAAATTGTAATTTATTCCTGTGATCAAAGCTGAATTTTCAGCATCATTACTCCAGTCTTCAGTGTCACATGATCACTCTAATATGCTGATTTGCGGCTCAAGAAACATTTATTATTATTAGCAATGCTGAAAACAGTTTAATATGTTATGCGCTGCTAAATATGTTTTTGGAAATGTAGCATTCTTGGATGAATAAAATGTTTATTAAAAAAAAAACAATTTGCTTAATAAAATTATTAATCTTACTGACCACAAAATTTTGAACAGTAGTGTAAATATTGTATTGGCCCTGCTCTCTAGATAAGAGTGTATACATTAACAATTTATATTTGATCTAATTTAATGGTAGCAAATGAGACCTGGACAGAATTGGGGAAATTAAATGCAAATCTGTTTTACATTTACACATTTAGCAGATGCTTTTGTTCATATTTGCTCCGTTCGAGCTTCAGTATTTACTCGGATTCACTGCAAGCAAAATTAATTTACTGTCCGTAGATTTTGAAAACTTCAAAAGAGTGAACTAACACATTCACACAAGTGGTGCACAATTAATGCTGATAATCTCTAGAAGGCTTGTAATTCAGTGGTCTAGCTGATACATGGTGGTCTATCACTAAAAAATATCCACCTAAATAATGGAACTGTTAGTTTGAAGGTTTTTCTGAATGCTACTTTCTTAATCCATTTACATTTGTTGTATCTTTGATTTAACATTTAAGCCACTGGTGCAGGTAGTAGAGACTCTTGACGGATTATGACACATAACATGCAGCTTATGAGATGCTTTAGAGACTTTAGTAGTTGAATGGGAAATTTGACTCTATGTGCTTCTTGTGTTTTCCAGTGGCAGTCAAAGGCACTGCAGGGAAATCCCGTGAGGAACTGACTCTGGAGAAGAAGAGAGAGCTGGAGAGACGACTGCAGGACGTCAGTGGCCAGCTCAACTCCGCCAAGAAACCACAGAAAACCAAAGGTAGAGACTGAGATGTTCATAGATGATCAGTGCTCGTTCAGAATCGGGTTAATCGAGATTAACTGATTTAACACATCTCTCTCTCTCTCTCTCTCTCTCAGTGGAGAAACCCTCAGCGGTGGAGCCTCATGCTGCAGCGTCTCGTCTCAGTGCCAGCAGTTCCAGCTCAGACTCCTCTTCCTCATCATCCTCTTCCTCCTCCTCTGACACCAGTGACTCAGACTCAGACTGAGCGGATCGAAAGAACGGACATCAGTGAAAACATGCACTCCATCCCAGAATAGAATAGAGTTTCTGCTCTTAATAATAGTAACTGTTAACAGAAAGATGTTTAAGGAAGAGCAGTGTTTCTCTTTAGATGTATAGAAGCAGGTCAAGAGAGAATTCTGGGAAATGTTGGACGGAGAAGGAACTAATGGAAAAGCAGACCAGGGCATCGTTGTCTAGTTTGGGACTCATTTCTGTTAGTCCATCCTTCTTTACTTTGTGTATATACATGTACAGAGATATATAAATATCTATTTTTCTTTTATAAAGAAGAATTTTAAGCAATTCCCTGGTAGGGAAGAATACAAAAACCTGACTTTTTCTTTTGTTTTGCTTTTTCTCCCTTTTTTCGTTTGACCTTTTAGTAGTTTGTCTTAAAGAAAAAAACAGAAGGCTTGGAGTGGAAATTGCTGTCACTTTTGTTTGCATGAGTGAGTGTGTGATGTGTGCGTGTGCCATTGAATCCCGTGGTTTTCCCATTTACACACTTTGCACATATGTGGATGTGTTGCCGCTTGGTTGTGCATTTGAATAAAAAAACAAAACTAAGCTCCATCTATTTAAATGGCATCTGTACACCTAGAAGTTATGAGAACGGAATTACGTCACTCGTCTCTGTCTGATGGGTGACTTGTTGGCGTCTTAACTTGAATCTGATCACCTCTCCATCCAGCCTGCTTTACTTTCCATGGTCATATGAATGGGTTCAAATCTCCATTGTTTTATATACAAACATGCAGAATCTTGCTCTTTGAGTTCAGCTGGGCCACATGAGCATTTGTGGATTTCTAGAGCGGAACAGAGTCTCAGATGCACTATGAGAGGTACACAGCTGCTTAATAGCTGTTGATATGAATACTGTTTGTAAATCTTGGTTTTTGAGTTTTGGTGTGTTTATTATTCACCCAAAGAATTAATGCACAATTGGTGGTTTTAACAAAATGACCCTCGTATTCAGAAATTAAATGCTTGGAAATATAGTTTCAGTTTCATAGCACATGCTGTTACATGACAATAACAACAACAAAATTTGACGTTTGTATTTTTTCCTTCCAAAAGTTTGTACATATGTAACAGCTTCATGACCTCGTAGCTTGCATCTGTCAATATGACCTGATTTCTGCTTCCTGCATTCTTTTTTTTTTCTACGTTTTTTTCCACAGCTCGATATGTTTTTTTAAGAAGACAACAACAGCAAAACATAATAACAATATGAAACCTCAAGCTATAAGCATCATCTCAACAGATGCTTCATGCGACCATTATTCTCATCTGAAAAATGTCATGTTAATAAAGAGGGTGAGATGTCTTTAAAACAAAATCCTGTTTTTGTGTGTTTCTTCAGGTGCATGTTATTTCATTAGATTTCTATATGATTTTCAGGGAATACATATTGCATCTAAGGATATTATAGTTCGTTAAAACCATTAAAAAAATTGTAGTTTCCACATTTCTAATTTTCATTTAGTTTCACATGTACTACATACTTGACATTAATAAAACTATAGACATATAATAAAAATGACAAAATTACTCAACTAAAATTTAAGTAAAATTAAATAAAAACTGACCTAGATCTAATGTAATGTTAGCTAATGTAATATATAAAATTATAATAAATAGAAATTATTACATTTTATATATTTTTATTTTATTATTTGATATACTAAAGCTAACGTAGGTATGCAATTTATTTATTAATTTATACATTTCTACACTAAAAATGCATTGCACAGATGAAGATAAGCTACATCAGAAGGTGGCAGTAGTTGTTTTTGTCCGCTGAATATCTTTAGTAGGTCAGTTACACCTGTTAGCATTACATTCCCATTCATCTCAATGGCAGTTGCTCAGTTAGCAGAAGCCCCGTAGAGGTCTGTTGTGCTGAGGTAAGTATATTTGGGTAACATGATGTTTTGTTTTTTAGGTTAGACCGTAGTTCACTGGATTTCAAACTCCGCTAATAATTGTGTAATTTAGTTAATTCACACTGAATGCTCCTTCATTTTTATGTAGATGATAGTAGTGTGGAAAAAATATTTTAGTGAAACTGAAATGTGTTTGACTAAAGACAACAAACTAGCTGAAAGAGAGCTTTACAGGCATTGTGTATTTTTGTACTAAATCATAAGGAAGTATCCCTAAGCAGTGAGGCGTATAAATGCTTTCATTATTTAAAGGGGTCATAGGATGCCCATTTTCCACAAGTTGATATGATTCTTTGGGGTCTTAATGAAAAGTCTGTAACATAGTTTGGTTAAAATTTATCAATGGTAGTGTAAAAAACACATTTTTTACCCTGTAAAAACAGCTCTTTTCAGAGCAGGCAGTTTTGTAGCATTTTCCTTTAAATGTTACAAACTGCTGGATCTTGTACTGGCTGCAGTATTCTGTCACGGAACGCAAGGAGAAAACAAGGTTAGATCCAACTGCAGTAGTTTATTAAAGTAACAAATAAACAGAACAGAACCAAAACTAAACAAAAGGTAACTTCAAACACAGGGAACAGAAAACACAACGTAACCTCAAGCAATACTGCAGCAAAGACAGACAGTGAGAGCATGGTATAAGTAGTGATGAAATGATGAGTAAATTACCAACAGGTGATAATGATCAGAACAAAACGACAAAGCAAAGGACTATGGGAAACGGAGTTCAAAACATGTAACACAGAAACAGGAAGAGCACCCTCAAGTGGCCAGTCCAGGGCACCACAACCAGACACTGTGACATTACCCCCACTCTACGGAGCGGATACCAGACGCTCCACCAGAAAACATAAAAGTTCAGGAGGGAGGTGGAACTGAGGGATAGAAAAATGAATAAACATCTTGAATATTCGATTTGGACTCTGTGAGCTCCCGGACTGGAGCGGGCTCTGGAGTGGACTCTGTGAGCTCCCGGACTGGAGCGGGCTCTACTGTCCTCCTTCTCGCCCTCCGCCGCTTAGTGGGAGTCTGAAGGGTAGAGGTGGTGGGAAAATCCCTGCGGAAGGGTTCTGATTGGCCCGGTATTGCCCACTGACTTCGACCATGGAGATACTCGACGAAGCCCCAGAAGTCTAGAATCTCGAGTCTTGCCAAGATTCGTTAAAAAAACCTTACACTTACTTCTTCTGTAGGTGAAGCTGGATCACGAATGATTCGCGCGAACATAAACGCATTTATGTAGATCAGGGCGCATTCTCTTCAAAAACAAACGTAATGTAAATGACGACTGCTGTTCATTATTACATCCAACAACAGGACACCTCAATCGCTTAGGAGTCATTCTTGTCTACGTCTGCTCCGGCGGTGAAACATTGGCGGACTGATGACAGCTCACTCAGCACGGGTCTAAGGTAAGACGCCAGTCCAGTCTGCGCTGAAACGCTACTGTCAATCAAACTATCATGGGAGGGGCCTGTCTGTGTGACGTCACACAGACAGGCATCTGAGATCGGCTCGATTTGAGAAAGGGGTAAAGATTTGAGTAGATTAACAAAAAAACACTGGGTGGATTTTTATCATTATAGGGTGGTTGTGCCAACACACATTTCAGTTCAAACAACTTGTAAAAGTGCATGTAGCATCCTATGACCCCTTTAAACACTCTCCTCAAACAGCTCCAACAACAACAACACAGAGATGATGGCACTCGGATTTGTCCTGGTGGGCTTTGCTTTTTGTTGTGTCTCGTCTAAAGGTGAGTTTCGTTCCATGAAATTACTGTTATATGAAGACAGGACTGACTTGTAACGCCAGTATGGCCACTTTACGGTGACTAACCATACGATCAGAAACATTCTAGCTTCTTCTTATGGTACGTTCCTGTGGGGTCTTTCCAAAAGCCTCAGTGCAGATAAATAAAATGACAAATTGTTGAATATGCTGATTTCTGGATTCTTAAAAATCTTTACTGGCTTCTATGGTTCCCTGAAGAGCCTTTAACACTCATAGAACTTTTCCAGTCTACAAAAGGTTCTATATAGTGGAAAAGGGTTATTTAGATTATTAAAATGTTCTTCACACTAAGAAAAAAGTGGTTATTTTTATATTTTAAGAACTATTCACTGAAAGGTTCTTTGAGGAACCAAAAAGGATTTTTTTTTTTGAATGTATCATAACTGGCATATTTACTTGAATCTGTTCCCTTCAGATGTTTATGTGTTCCAGGTCTACACAGTGAAACTGGTCTTCAACCAAAAGCTTCGGTGCAGTTATGACTTGAGCATTGACTGAGCATTTCTGAGCATCAGAGAGTCTGAATTGATTGAAGAGTTGCATCACTTAAATTTGCTGGAGATGATGGTTACCTTCACCACATTTATTTCACTGTCATTACTCTTGTCTTCTCAACAGTGTAAGGCTCGTTACGGTCAGCTGACCGCGCTGGAGTGCCATGCGTACGATTTCTACCCCCAGGCCATCAATGTCACCTGACTGCAGGACGGATCAGAGGTCACTGGCGACGTGGTCTCTACTGAATTGGATAATGGGGATTGGAGCCACCAGATGCATTCATACCTGAAGCTGGTGCTAGAGGATTCCCAGTGAGCTGCCGAGCAGAGCACAGCGGTCTGGAGGAGCCTCTCGTCGTTCAGTGGGGTGAGACACGCTCGTGCTCCATACTCACTATTGATTAGATAACTGCGGGAATTTACCTGACAATCAGTGAACTTCTCACACATGATTCTTCTAGAAGAACTGCAGGATTATTATTACCGATTAAAACTATTAAACACATTTTAATTTAAATAAAGCTGAAATAAAATCAACAGATGCATTCATACCTGAAGCTGGTGCTAGAGGATTCCCAGTGAGCTGCCGAGCAGAGCACAGCGGTCTGGAGGAGCCTCTCGTCGTTCAGTGGGGTGAGACACGCTCGTGCTCCATACTCACTATTGATTAGATAACTGCGGGAATTTACCTGACAATCAGTGAACTTCTCACATATGATTCTTCTAGAAGAACTGCAGGATTATTATTACCGATTAAAACTATTAAACACATTTTCATTTAAATAAAGCTGAAATAAAATCAAATATAAATGTTTGATGAAAAACTTAAACTACTTAAATTAAAACTAAATAGAAATATTTACAAAAACTAATAAAAATGACAAGCATGTAAAAAAAAAATTACTAACAATAAAAAATTAAAAGCTACTTAAAATATAAAATATAAAACTAAACCTCTATATAAAAAAGAAAAACCTGTATATAAGTCTGGAACTGAAGAGCCATTTTGCTCATGACCCAACAAATGTGGTCTGGTGCATAACAAAATTACTAAAAATTAAGTAAAAAAACCAAAAACGAATTAAAAAAAAAAGCTATTAAAATAATAATGAAAACTATAGTGGTATATAAATAATATTGAAATAACTGGTATTTTGCACAGCCAATTAAATGCAAAATTACTAATAATTAAAACTGAAATAAAAACAGAAACTACAAAAATAAAAACTAGCTATTAATTATCAATAATAATATTAATATAAATATTAATACAAAATGTCATAGTATTTAAATAATATTAAATACCACTGGAACTGACAAGGCAATTACAAAATTACAAAAATGTTTAACTACTATTAAAATAAAACCGATAATACAAAAATAAAAGTAATGAATAAAAACTGTAGTAGTATAAAAATAATATTAAAATAACACTGGAACTGTCAAGGCATTTTGTCCACGACCCAACAAATGTGGTTTGGCCCATAACAAAATTACTAAAATTTAAATTAAAATGAATAATTAAAAAAAAAAGAGCTAATTAAAGTATTAATAAAAATATAATAGTATATAAATAATATTAAAATAACACAAACTGACAAGGCTTTTTGTCCACGACCCAACAAATGTGTTTTTTTCTTCTTTGAAATGCTATACTGCAGGTTTGAGTTGATGAAGTGCATCGTGTTGGAATCACTAGAAGTTTCCAGCTGCTAAAATCCACACACATGCACTTTGAGTCATGATGTCCAGGTGGCTTTCTTGCATTGTTGGTTTATTGATTTGCATGTACTGTTGAAACAGGTTGTTTATGTCTGTCACTTTCTCTCTCGCTCAGACTCGACCTCTCTCGATACCAGAATCACAAAAGTTAGCTGTGGGTTGCTCTTTTTTCCTTATCGGCCTCATTGTGGCTCTTTCTGCTGCATACTGGTACTACAAGAAACAGCACAGAGGTAAACCTCCACCACTACTGACCCTAAAATAATTATACAACTATGATAATGCAGGATAGCTCTAAAGAAAATATGTCAATTCTTTTCTTGTCTCTTCCCCTCCATTGAAAGCTGAAATGATTTTATGGTGTTAAAGTTTGAACCATTGAATATCAACTCCGCTTTTGCATGTGTGTCTATGTAAATCTTTTATTTCCTCCTGTTGTTGTATATTATTGCTCATTTTAATAAAGATTGAATGGCTTAACTTACCTATGCATGATTGCCTCGGGCTCATTTACATATCAGACCAATGCTCTAAACCAAACAGAGGGACAGACAGAAAAAATATGCTAAATACATGCCTCCAAATTGCAACAAAATGTCAAAGAGGTTTATTGTGTCTGTGAGAAACGTGCATATGTTTAGGGATTCATTGATGTTTTATTTTTAATCTAATGGTGTTGAATGATATCAGTAGCAGAGATGGAAAAGCTGCAGTAAAAACACTCGGCCTGCGTTTACTCTAACAGCCCCCCGCGGGACTGAGGTTAACTGTTCTCTTCATTTCCCAGACGCTCCAGCGCTGGGCTGGATTTCAGAGCACAGGTGCAATGCAGAGCTTATTCACAGTCAGAGATAAGAGTGCATTATCACTCCTCAATACAAGAGCTCTTTGTGTGAAAGCTCTTCACGTTTCCCTCAAGAACTTCATTAGAACTATATTTGATGTAGGAATTTTGTTTGTCATTTTGTTGTTGTTGTTCACTTCTGCTCGCTTGTGCTCAGTTACGGTATGCTGATCATTTGTAAATTACTCGATGTAATAATGTTTTTATCTCGTTATTTATTTTTTTGTGTGAAAATATAATTTTCTAAAAAAAAAGATCTTTAACAATCAAGGACCTTTTCGCCAGAGCCAGCTTATAAAAGCTACTCACAACAAATGGCCATCTGTCCATCGGGGAAATGGCTTAATGTCTCCTCCTTTAGAAATAACACTGGTAATCGCAGGCAGAGTTGCCAAGTCTGCGTATTTTACGCGACTTTGGGCTTCTTTTTTTTTTTAAGTTGTGTTAAAAAATCACGGGTTGCGGTTTTTTGGGCTTATTTTAAAAAATATGGTTGCTTGTTAGGAAAACCTGACAAGCAACTTCATTTCTTTACATTTATGTATTTAGTCGCTGTTTTTTCCAATATATTTTTGACACTGCCAATCAGTGCAACAATAAAAGTGCTGTAGCGTAATTCGTCATCGTCAGCTCATTTATTGATAATTAATAATATTGATGATAATAAATAATATAATAACATTGGGCTTGTTTTTGAAGTTGTGGTTGCTTATTTATCTTGCGGGAGTTGGCAACACTGATGGCAGGCTTTACACTGCTGCTTGCTCAGCTTAAGTAAAACGAGTAAATGCAGTGCAATTCTAAGTCATTTTAACAACTTAATTTCATTCATTGCGTTCAATACTCCTAATCTCGGAAATTTGGAAGTTTTTCCACACACACACACACACACACACACACACACACACACACACACACACACACACACACACACACACACACACACACACACACACACACACACACACACACACACACACACACACACACACACACACACACACACACACTTTGTGTATTATGTGCAAAACAGTTTATTTCCGTTTTGAATTTAGTTATTTGATTCCACACATTTGATGCACAAGACAGGGTCGAGTAGTAACAATGGTAAACGTTCCCGTGAAGATATGCAACGCAGACAACAGAAATAAATTATTTTAGGCTTAAAATGACTTTTAATCCATGTATGTTAGCTTCCAGGTCAGTTATACTCATGCACTTCTAAAGGTTGACTCGGGCGTCCAGATGTCCATGTTTGCCAACAGCAGCTGCATCAACATTCAGCTTAACTCAAAGAAGGTGATAAAGGTTTTGAGCGACATAAATGTGAGCATATTAATTTTATTTTTCACAAGTCCTTTAAAAAGACACTAGCTGTGCCTGTGCGAAATGCTTGGCCCCATTCATGACTTTGAAGGTCAAAAGGTGAAGTATGGAACAGTATGGAAAAAATATGAATGGTCTTTTGGTGCCCTCTAGCGGACATTATTAGCTACTACAACACACTGTGACCCATCATGGCGGCGTCCTCTCGCCTCATATCCAGGCTGACATTGGGGTGAGATTTAAAAACGTTGCATTTGTCTTAACGGCCATACATGTTTTTAATGTATTTGAAGTCATTATAACATTTTATAGTTGGACACTTTTATCATGCAAGTCAAAAAGCTCCAGTTGTCTTTCAGTGCTTAGGTCATGTGGACTGAATGCAAGCTAACCACAATATTGTTTTCAGTATTTATACTGTATATCAAACAGAATACATCAAATGTATTTAGCTTGTTTAAGGAATTAGACTAAATGTTGCATTGTAACATTGTGCAATATTTGGAGCACGTCATTTGAAGTAATATTTTTGAAAGGTGTAGAAGTTTTTGTGCATATCAGAGCTTTATTGATCAGATGGTCAGATAACACTCATTTCTTGTGTTTCAGGAGGCGGCAGTGGCATCGGCAGGACCGTGTGTCAGAGATTCGCCTCTGAAGGAGCTTCTGTAGTAGTGGCTGACCGCAATGAGGAATCAGCCAATCAGACCCTGGAACTGCTGTCACGTGACCACAAAGGTCAGGGGCACCTGGCCCTGGGGGTGGACGTGTCATCAAAGGACAGTGTGGAGAGACTAGTGACAAGTATACAGGTGTCTGTGCCGTTCCTGGGCTCTTCTGGAGCTCGAGGGGTCAGTGATAAAACAGGAAGTTCATGTGTTTGTCTTGTTTTCTTCCAGCCGCCGTCTGTGTGTGTGAATGCAGCCGGGATCACTCAAGATGAATTCCTTCCCAAGATGGAAGAAGATGAATTTGACAAAGTCATTGAAGTCAATCTCAAGGTCGCAGTCCAGAGTCTAACTCTAGTGTTTAGTTCTGTCAGGACCACTATCGTCAAAGATGATTGACAATTAGCATACAGTTTGGATTGGCGGTATGGTTCTGTTCTGGGCAAGAACTCCCTGTGCATCCATGCAGCCTAGCATGGATGAGAGCAGGGAGAGCAGCGATTAACCCCCCAGGGTAAACAGAACAGAACCAACATAAATGTATGCAGATATCGTTAAAGTTCAATAATGTTATGAATTATTTTAGAATTAGTCTGATTCAAAGGAGAATCAGAAGGCTGAATCCTGACTGACAGAGGAGGAGCTGGGGATGGAGGAGGGTAATTAGCTATTGAGCAATGCGAAAACTGCTGATAATACTGAGGGACCTTATATATGAATGCTTAGATAGGTGTCGTATTCCCATAGGTTGATGGGGATCAGCTGAGAGTCAGCTGATGCGAGCTTGACTAACGTGACCTGCCAGAACTAACGCTACGCTTGATTTATGAACATGTCATCATATACAGTCATGAGAGGGCTTACCTTTGATCAGTGTTTTAGATAATGTCTGAGAGCAGAACGTGATGGGGGAAAATACTTTTACTGTCCTTTGCCAAAACTAACAAAATCTTGTGATCTGCAAAAAAGAATCAGTGAATGAATCTTGAACGAATTCAAAAGTCACAAATTTTGTCAATGCACATGTATGTATATATATGTATTTAAATACACTATTGTATATTTAGGGTTGTACATTTTTTTAAAACAAGTCTCATCTGCTCACAAAGGCTGCATATTTGATAAAAAAAAAAAACAGTAATATTGTGAAATATTATTACAATTAAAAAAAAAAAAGTTTTCTATTTGAATTTATTTACAAATGTAATTTATTCCTGTGATCAAAGCTGAATTTTCAGCATCATTACTCCAGTCTTCAGTGTCACATGATCCTTCAGAAATCATTCTAATATACTGATTTGCTGCTCAACAAACATTTCTGATTATTATCAGTGTTGGAAACAGTTGTGCCGATTCATATTTTTTGTTGAAACTGAGATACATTTTTTTCATGATTATTTTATGAATAGAAAGTTCAAAATAACAGCATTTAGTGAAAACAGAAATCTTTTGTAACATAAATGTCTTGCTGTCATTTTCAATCGATTTAATGCGTCCTTACCATCCTTGCTGAATAAAAGTATTAAATTCTTTAAAAAAAAAAAACTAACACACCACAAACTTTTGAACGGTAGTGTGTGTATATATAGATTTTCCCATCAAGCTGTTCCATTTTCCTTAGTGTTTATGAAATGTGACAGTGTGCAAGTCTGTGTCTGATCTTCTGTACTGCTGGTGTTTTTCAGGGTACGTTTCTCGTAACTCAGGCCATCTCGAAGGCTTTAGTTTCTGCAGGCGCTGTGAAGGGCTCCATCATCACTGTGGGCAGCATAGTGGGCAAGGTCAAACATTTAGAGCAATATCAATTTGTACTACATAGATAATATAGTGGACATTTAACAAAGCCATTAACATTTTCGGACCTTTAGTTCCATGTCGTTTCTTAAATGTCTGTTTCTTTGTCTGTAGGTTGGGAATATTGGGCAGGTGAATTACTCCGCTTCTAAAGCAGGAGTGGAGGGCCTCACTCGAACCGCTGCCAAAGAGCTGAGCAAGTGTGTGAGCATTTTACTGACGTCACACTGTAACTGAAACATATTTACAGACCTGCAGACATTGTACCCATTTTATGTTTTGCTTTAGGGTTTGTGGTGCTGCTCATGTCTTAGTTATGGATTGTAAACAAAAGAGAGAGCCTGTACTCTTTATGTTCTATATTTTAAAAATTAAATTTAAAAATGTTGCTTTTAGGTTTGGTATTCGCTGCAACTGTGTCCTGCCAGGGTTCATCACTACACCCATGACAGATAAAGTACCAGAGAAAGTCATCGATAAAGTGAGAAAGAATGTTTCTGGCTTCAGATGAATAAAATGAGCTGATTATTTGTGCACAAGTCATTTAGTCTCAGTAATTTCTTAGAAAGTGGCTGTTTTTTCTTAGATGTAAAACAGCTTTGAACATTGGTAAAGGATCGTAAGATTTGATTACTTGATTACTTAGATTGTTTGAATTGAAATTGCATGGTTGACATTGTCAGACAGCTTACCACGCTAAAGCCACTTCTGTAACTCAGCATTATTTTTGGTTATTTTGTGCAGCTCACAGCCGTCATTCCAATGGGAAGGATGGGAGAACCTGCTGGTAAATAATTTTTCATTGCACAAAAACATTTTCATATATATAGTAACCATCCAAACCAGTTATTAAAACACTGTTTTGTGTGACACAGGTAGGTTTATGAAAATGTATTTTTTTTTAGATATATAAATATATCACCCTTGCTTGTCTGTGCAGAAGTAGCTGATGCATGTGCCTTTCTGGCTTCTGATGACAGTCGATATATTACTGGAATCAGCATTGAAGTTGCTGGTAAGAAGCTTGATCTGAACAGCATCTTCAGCAGAAACACTACAGAAAACCTGTATGATTTCATTCTCAATTTGTTCTGAATTGACATGGGTTTTTCTCTTTAATCATTGCAGGTGGACTCTTCATTGGCTGAAAACTGTTGAATAAGACTAAACTGATCACCAGCTCTGTACCTTCATCGTTGTGAAATTGTCCTTGTATAAATTACATTTACTTGCTGTGAACTATTGTATAGTGTAACAAATGAAAATCTATATTTCAATCATGACAACTCTCTGGACATTTTAGCATGGTGATGGATATGACAATGTTAATGTATTTGGTCTTGGCGGAACAGATCTGCTACACTGCTGCTGTTGGTTATTGCTGTAGTTGTAGATTATTGCTGCTGCTGCAAGCAAGTACAGGAGCTTGCTACTGCCAGTGCATATGGCGATACGGTGCCATGAGTATTTAAGACATGCTGCTGCTGCACAAATAGCATATAAAATAACCCGTAGCAGATCTATACAGGTGGAGCTGGGGAAGGTGGAGGGTTTCAGAGAAGCTCTGAAAGCGCGCTGCAGGAATCTCAAGTGAATGCTAGCCAGCCATATAAACGCAAGGCAGTAAGCTCATTGGCTGCATATGCAGCATGAACCAATCGGCTTGTGCCAAGTCGTTTAACTCTCTGAATATCATCAGTTATGTTAACACCCCGTCAGAATGCGCCATCTAGAGTTTCATGACTGAACTATATATTTATACAATTAAAGTGTGAATCATTTATACTGAACCCACTTTTAAAAAACAATTAAGTTGACACAGGAGGAAATGTGTTGATGGGTGGTTTAATGGGAAATTTTGGACAAGTCAAGGAATTAAAACAGTCGACATTTCAAAACCCAGACTAATAGAGCAGAAACAAAATGCATAATTTAGACGAAGGGCTTGAAGGAAAGTGGGCAGATTACATATGATGGTTTCACCAAAACGCACGCTGTTCAGGTGTTTAAAGGTGAAAATGGGAGTTTGGCTCAGAAGAGCGCAGATGCAGATCAAATATTAGCAAAAGCATCATGTGACCACGACAACGGGGAAAAGAACAACAAAGGAGTACAACAGCTCTTTAAATAGATGCTATATTACACAAACAGATTTCCAAGTACTTACATAAAACAAGTTTTAGCACCATATTTTATAAAGACAGATGTTCGTCTTTGACAAAAACAGTCCTAGCAGTATTGTCCTTGTGAGAAAACCACACAAACAACTTTTAATTCACAAATACGTTTTTTATAGCTTTTCATTCCCCACACCGTTTCAAAAAAAAAGAAACAAAAAATATACATAAAAAAAACAAAAAAAAAACACCATTTTTTTTCCCTCTCCTTCCTCTTCCTGTCCCTTCTCCACTGTTGTCTGAATCCTGAGACATTTTTGTGTTTGTGTCTCCACCTGCACCAAACTCTCCAGAACCTCAAGCTGCAATGGAAATACAATCTAATAATGCAACATGATCTAATATCACCAAGTAAGTGTATATATTTATCATACAGAGAAGGCAGATTTGCTTTCTGGGGTTTGATTTACATATTTAATAGATAGATGAAAAGCTACAGGAAATAATTACAGACGAATACCACATTATTTTGTACTGCAAGTGTTGGTCATTTTCTTGTGAGCACCTGTTTGTTTCACAAAATAAATACAATAAAATATTTCTGTACAAATGGTTCTTATGCACAATTCCAGCCTGAACACTGTCCGCACGAAAGGTCAAAGGTCACAAACCTGTGGGTTTGTCAATACTCAATGCTGTGGGCCAAAATAGCAAAAGTGTTGAAAGCGTGCATATTATCAGAATTTTTTTTTTTTTTAAAGACCACTGTAATGAAATAATAACCAGCTAAAAAATACTGAACTGGTAAATCGGCAGCATGTTTACGGCATGTCTAAAAAAAAATTAAATTCTTACAGATTTGATCATTCTATAATAAATGTACAACATTATCAAATTCAATACACTTTTACACTGTAAATGCTTTTCATTGCATATGCTGATGACAGTTGCTGGTGTGATTTGAAATCATTCTAATGGAATTTTCATGCTCCGCTTCCGTTCCTCAGTTTAAATGTCGCACCTGCAGATCATTCTGCTCTATAAGGTAAGGAAGGAAGTGAGGAGGGGGCGGTGATCAGGCATGGAGGTAGGAAGAGTGGAACGTCTCGGAAGAGAAACAGTGGGGAGGGGAGCTGTAGGAGAGAGAGGGGGCCGAAACGGGAGGGTCTTCCGCTTTAGGCCAGCAGTATCTGCTCCAACACAGAATATCTTCTCTTCTCTCCTGCGAGAACGGCTTTCTTCTCCTCCGTTGCTGGGAGTGTTTTTCCCTGGGTGTGTACTTTGTGTGCAACTTTGTTTCACAACAATGTGTGTGTGTGCATGTGTGTGAGTCTGTGTGTCCCACTGATTACACGTAATTTCAAATGTCTTTTTTTTAGTGTTGGCACATCTCTATGTGGTGGTATTTATGTCTAGGTTTTAAGTGCATGATTAATGAGTATGTGTGTGAATGTGTGTGTGTGTGTTGTATTGGTGATTGTATTCTCCTTGCCCTCAGCATGTGTGTGTTTATCCCAGGAAACAGACAGGTCCCACTTCAAAGCCAAATTTCTGATTGTCCTCCCCAAAGTCTGAGATCCTGATGTCCAGCAGAGGGAGCTGCTCCACCTGAGGTGTGTTCACCTCCAGCACTGTCCTGTCCAAGCCTTTACGATACTGCAGAGGGAAAAGACGGAAAAAAATATTTAGGAATAGAATACCTCAACCATTGTATTATGTTAAAAGTCTGGGTATGATTGTTATGTTAATTGTATTCAATAAAAGCCACCAAAAATCACACTATTTTGAAAAAAACAAAACTATTTAACAATATATATATATAAAAAATGTTTATATATATATATTTTTTTTAAATTTTCAAATAGTTTTTTTGTGTGTGTGTGTCTTCGTGAAACTTCGAACAATAAAACATGGAGTTAGCAATGTCAAGGTCATGGGTTCGATTCCCAGCAAAATTCACACACATGAAAATATATGCCTTCAACACAGTATACTAAATTTCTTTGTTTCAATACTTCTGCCATAACAAAATTAATGTTTTACATTTTACAATACATCATAATAATATATGATGTATGCAGATTCCACAACATTGCAGGCATGTTTATGACCATGTTAGAATTTCAGGATTTCTGACAACTCATAAATGTGTTCAGGTCAAACTGACCCAGAACATAATATAAGGGTTAAGATGATCAAAAAAGTAAAGAAAAAAAAATTATATATGTATATACACACACACAAGACCAACCACCCATCAAGCTCAAACATTTGTAATAATATTGCATCTTGGGTTCAGTTAAAACGTTCTAAAACACCCCAAATAGTACATTAAAAAGTACATTTAATATTAATTGAACCAAAAAATGTACATTAAAAACATCCAAAAATCTTTTCATTACTTAAAATGCTTATATAGTGCAATCGCTAGCTTTTAAACATACTGCCATCTTTTATCTATTTATTTGTTTCTGTTAACGTACAGAGCAGCCGTCGGTGAGGGCTTTGATGTAGGGACTGGTCTCGTAACTGAGCTCTTCATCGTTGGTACCCTGGAAGAGTAGCGCCCTCTGGTACCCGCTGTCGCTCGTGAGGTCCGCCCAGGCCACTGATCGCTGGCAGTGGTAGGTCAGGTTTTGACGGGCCTGAACGCTGAGCAACCGCAAGAATCCCAGCTGGACAACACCCACGGGCTCTCCACTCAAGTCAACATATGAAAACTACAACATAAAAGAAAACAGTAATTCACGATTCATAATATAATGAACTCGACACTGCAATATTTCTTAGATTTTGATGATGAATGACTTCTGGTTGTGTCGTCGCTGCAAATCACTCTCAGTGTAAACACCCTTTAAAGGGACAGTTCACCCAAAAATGAAAACCCTCAAGCTGTTCTTTCCTCTGCTGAACACTAAAGAAGATATTTTGAAGAATCTGGGAAACCAAACAGTTGCTGGTCCCCACTGACTTCCTTATTATGAAAAAGAATACAATGGAGGTCAATGGGGTCCAGAAACTGTTTGGATACACACATTCTTCAAAGTATCTTCTTTTACGTAAATGATGACAGAATTGTCATTTTTGGGTGAACTATCCCTTTAATAATGAGCTTTTGGTTCATTTGTGCATATTACTTGGCTAAATGAAACATGGATTGAAGAGAAGATTCTGAAGAGTTCTTGAAGTGATAAACTCACCTTGCTGCCCTTTGCAAACTGACTAAACCAGGACCCAGGCTTCTCCTTTGGCCAAGTGTTCATCTTCACCTATGGCAGAATTAAGGACTAGTAAATCTAAAGGATGTCGCAGTAAAGTATAAACATATAAAAATGAATGCCAGCAAATTCTTACATTCTCTACTGCTTTGCTGGGATACAAGCACGTCTCTCCCCCGGCAGTGAAGTTACAGTAAACCTTGAACGAGTCCCGGGCGCAGCCTTGATTTGGATCAATCCAGTACTCGCCTGAATAAAAGAATAAGAATGATTAGAATGTGTAATGGCTCACCATTGGTTACGGAATGTGTCAATCACATAGTAACCATGACGATCATACCATCTTTCAGATCTGGTTGGCTGAGGTGGAGGTCCTGGCAGGTGCGGGCGGGGCTTTCCTGTGTTCCCAGCGGGAAGCGCATGCTCTCGATCTCCTGGCGCAGGGAATTGAGCGAGCTGAAGATCTCCTCCATACCTTCATTGGCGGTCAGGAACTCTGTGCCCGTGGCATCGGCAGCCTCAGTCTCAGAGAGCATCTTACTGGCGTCGATGGAGCGCTTGGACTTCTTAGGGAACTGAATAGGCAGCGGCTGAATGACATCACCAGGTGGTCCCTAAAGAAAAAACTAAATTCAGCTGCATTTCAAGGAACTCTGGGATGTGCTGATCTCCTTTTATTTGTCTTGAATGAAGTTCATCTTCACTGCCAAATGATGACTGTACAACATCTTGCGTTTTGTATTGTAGATAACAGATACGACTCACAGGTGGTCCTGGTGGTCCTTGTACACCTTTTTCTCCTTTAGGACCAGCTCCACCCTGTACAAAAGAGAAACACATACAAAATGAGTGCCATTTTAGAGTAAAGTATAAAAAATGTGACATATGTATAATGCTTAAACATTACCTTACATGATATGGCTCATGATTTACTTCTCACAATACATTTGATCTTAAGTACAAATATTTAAGGAAGTATTACTCACAGTGGCACCTTTAGCTCCTTTGATACCCCTCGGACCCTGTGAGAAACATCACATCCATTCATACTTTGATCGAGGAAACCAGTGTTTTGAGATGATATATTTTGGTGCTTCAGAGCTCAAGTTAAGTAGTCATAGTTTCAAGATTTTTTTTAAGATTTAACAAAGGATTAATCATGAAGAATCAGTGCCGCCAAAGTACTGAAGACACGTTTCTCCACAAAATTCAGAGTTTGGTATGATAAACAACTCTACAGAAGTGAGAAATGGTAATGAAAGTTTACTCACAGGCATACCAGCAGGACCTGCAGGACCAAGAGGACCCGTTCCTCCAGGCATACCCTAACAAAACACATCAAGAAATGAAAGAAAGAAGAAAAAAAATATATGATATGATAATAGGATATGAACTGGGAAAGTTTTACATGTACACTACCCTTCAAAAGTTTGGGGTTGGACAGATTTTTAAAAATGTTTTAGAAAGAAGTCTCTTCTGCTCACCAAGGCTGCATTTATTGGATCAAAAATACAGTAAAACATTGTGAAATATTACTATCATTTAATATAACCATTTTCTATTTTAATTTTATTCCTGTGATTAAAGATGAATTTTCAGCATCATTACTCCAGTCTTCAGTGTCACATGATCCTTCAGAAATCATTCTAATATGCTGATTTGCTGCTCAAGAAACATTTCTGATTGTTGAAAAGTTGTGCTGCTTCATATTTTTGTGGAAACTGATACATTTTATTTCTCAGGATTCTTTGATGCATACAAAGTTCAAAAGAACAGCATTTATTTAAAATAGAATCCCTTGCATCATTATAAATGTCTTTACTGTCACTTTTGAGCAATTTATTGCATCCTTGATGAATATTTAAACATTAATTTCTTTAAAAAAAATCTTACAGACCCCACTTTTGAACGGTAGTGTATATTTGCCTGTGGTGTGATTTTGATGTGCGGAGGACGTGACTAGACTTCACATACCGTTTCTCCCTTGTGTCCTGATGATCCCTGAGGTCCCGGCAGGCCTCGGTCTCCCTTCTCTCCTTGTTCTCCTGGAGGCCCGATCAGACCGAGCATACCTGGATGTCCCTTCTCACCCTTAGCGCCGGGGTCACCACGAAGACCTGGCAAACCTGGAGGACCCTGTGAGAGGAGTGGAAAATTTGGCATTCAATATACATACATGTATTTCATGTAACTATAATAATAGTTCTAATAATAGTTCACTTCTTAGTGTGTACTTGTATATTGAAAATTCAATTCATTACTGTATATTTGATAATACAGCAGGTCTTTGTAAAGAAGATTATAACTGCACACTCACAAGTATATTATTACCAACAAACAATGAGACACAAAAAGTCTCAAAAGACCAATACAACATAACCAGAGATCTCTCTGATGTCATGTGATATACGGATCAGTCTGTGTTATTTTAATTGCTCAAGATTGTTAAATAATTATTGAATACTGATTGTGATGTAACTATGTTTCACCTGTGAGTAACTCGATTTATGATGTTCTCAGTTTTGAGGAAATTGTAACTTGACAAAGCTTGTTGCTGAAATGTTGGTTATAATGATCTTGTAAGTGAGTGTGCTGTTATAATCTTCATTTTTTCCCCTGCACCTCCATAAGGTGTGCGTTTGCTGTAATGCTCTAATACAGAGGGTCTTACCATTGGTCCAGGGGGTCCCTTCTGGCCAGCAGCACCTGGAGCGCCTTGCTCACCCTAAATACAGTTATCAATTGTCAGAAGATCATCTGATAAACACTATATTAGTTTTTACTAAATAAACAGAAAAAAAAATTCCAATATCATACCACTGTTCCAGGCAACCCTCTTAGACCCTCAGTTCCTGGTTTTCCTGGTGGACCCTGTGCCCCCACGGGGCCAGTCTTTCCTGGAGGGCCCAGGGCACCTGAATCCCCCTAGAAAAAAAAACAGATTAAAGGAGGAAAAAAAACTACAAAAAGCCTGTTTATTTGTTGTAACTATATTCTCTCTTAGTCTCACCTTGCTTCCTTTCTCTCCCTGACGACCCTCTGGTCCCCTTGTGCCTGGAGGACCCTGAAATATGAACATTAACACAATTTAAAGTCCAGAAATATGTATTTTTTCTATGGGTTCCATCCTGTACAATATTTTTTGTAGACCAAATATTTAACAAATTACTCAAATTACTCATCTACTACAGTGAAATACACAATCAATGATCTAAAATTACAAGGCTCACAAATTAACATGAGAGTGGTTATGTTGGGCTGTGGTGAAATATGGTGATCTTACTCTCTTTCCTGGAGGTCCAGGTGGTCCGTTCTCACCAGTTGGTCCCGGTGAACCCTAAAGCCATGCAAAGATAGTACTCAGTGAACACAATATATCCTGAAAAACCCCTTATAAGTATGCATAAGGAAGATGTGCACTTTATAAACAGGAGGATGATCACTCACAGCTTCTCCTTGTTCTCCATCCTCTCCTCTTTCACCCTTTGCACCATCGTGGCCCTGTAAAGTAGGTCAGACATTTTTTTTCTCGCACCGATGAATCACATACAAAGACCAGGAACATGTACGAAGAATGTACGAAGGGTCAAATTCAATTTCATGTTGACTTGAAGTGTCATGTATTAGTATGTAAATGACAGCTCTACTCACTCGTGGTCCAACTTCACCAGGGGGACCAGGATCACCAGGGAAACCAACGGGACCCTTGAAAACACAAATATCAGCTGCCGAAGAGTCACAGATAGACCTGTTTCTCATTTCAAAGCTATGTCATGTTTAATACATACGGGGTTTCCTTTGGGTCCATCATCTCCGGGGGGTCCTTTTCCACCAGCAGGACCAGAGGTGCCCGGCTGCCCAGCCTCTCCCTTCTCACCACGCTCTCCTCTCGGGCCCTGCCATTGGATAAGCAAACCAATAAGGTGTTAGCTGTGATTATATCTACTAAATAAATAAATATAAATGTAAGTAATTTTTTTTTACAAGTTCAGAGGATGATAAAGATTTCAACTAAAAAAAATTCTCACTGTTTTTCCTGGCTCTCCACCAACACCAGGTGGTCCAGATTCACCAGGCTCACCCTGGCAATACAAATAAAACAACGTAAAGTGCCAACAATCAGAACTGCTAATCTTGTCAAGCATAAGTCGTCATCCATGCAGAAAGATGAACTTTTTTATACTTGCCTTCTCTCCTATGGGACCTGGATTACCCAAACCTCCTGGAGGACCTTGAGGACCCTGAAAAATTAAGAATATGTATTAAATTATCCAAAAAATGCTAAATTAATTGACCGCAGAATGCCATGATTGACCAATCTGAATAAAGTATTTCAGAGAGTTATTGCATAGTGATTATAACACATATAATAATGAACTGTAATCATCTGTAAATTATTATTTATAGTACAAATTAAGTTACTTACATCAGCACCATTAGGACCAGCTGGACCACGTGGACCTGGCGGACCAGGAGGACCCTACCGAAATACATGACCAGAAACGATTAGGATATAGGCATCATATATGTTTATTCTAAGGGTGATTCAAAATGCTAGAGCATCATATGTTGCATTATAAACATTAATTGTACCTTTAACTGCCTTTAAATAAAAATATTAAGACTCACCATTGGCCCAACATCTCCTGTCTCTCCTTTTTCTCCAGCTGGGCCTGGTAAACCCTAATGAATGTGAATGAAGTGCAAATAGCTAAAACATCCAGTATGTAGATTTTAATGGGTAAGAGTGAATAAAACACAATCTGTACCTGCAGTCCAATAGGGCCTGGAGGCCCAGGGAATCCTCTTGTCCCTTCATCTCCCTTAGCGCCGAATGGTCCCTGTTGACCTCTTGCACCTGTCTCACCATCAGCACCCTGAGAAGAGATTTGAAATGGGGTCGACCACAAGCAGATATAACCTTTTGACTACCTATGAATAGTAGCATGACTTTGTTGGCATCAAATCACACTCACAGCTGCACCAGGCTGTCCAACAGGACCCATTGGCCCGGGTGGACCAGGAGGACCCTGTAAAGGTGCAAATAATTGATTATAGATTGATATTATGCCCACCACAATAAGTGAAACAAAATCTAAGCATGCAAGGTTTTCAAATTGTAGGACTCCTTGAAAAGGCTTGGAACTCGTTACAATGTTGATGTATTTTCTTTGGAAACAGGACATATTAAAATTATGAAGATTTCTTAAACGAAAGTTAATTTACTCACATGTTCTCCCTTGGATCCTTTACCGCCCTTTTGTCCTGGCTCTCCAACCTCACCCTATACAAAAAACAGTTAAACTTTATATTTGACAAGAACATCCACATAACTGTGAGGATTTGAGATTGAGATATGAAGAGATTGCTTACCTTGTCTCCATCCTCTCCAGCAGTACCTGGAGGTCCAGCAGGGCCTGGGAGGCCAACTGGACCTTGGATGCCATCACGACCAGCTGGACCAATTGGACCTTTCTCCCCCTGTAAAACAGGATTATCTTATTTGACAGGCCTATATATAAATATATAAATATTAGAGATAAGGTGCAAACCTAGAGTAGACACTTACTGGCACTCCTTTTTCTCCCGCAGCTCCAGGAGGCCCCTGAGGTCCAGGTCGTCCAGGCGGGCCGACAGTACCTGCAGTGCCAGCTGCTCCTCTCTCCCCAGGAGATCCCTGCATAGAAATTCAGTTAGGGTAAAAGACTGAAAGTAATGCTATAGAAGAACCATTCTGAGTTCCCCAAAGAACCTTTCAGTTCTTATACACTTATAGTGTAAAGAACATATTATAATCTAGAGAACATTTCTGAAGTATAAAAACCTTTTGTGCATTTAAAATGTTTTATGGATGTTAAAGGATCTTCATGGAACCATTAATGGCAATAAAGAACCTTTATTTTGAAGAGTGTATCTACGTGATATTTCATATTCTGGTTATTATGAGCAACATACAGCAGGTCCAGGTGGTCCAGCAGGGCCTTCATTTCCTTTCAGTCCTCCAGTGCCCTATGAAAACACAAAGGTAGAGCTCAGTTTGCTATAAAAACATTTATGTGCAGTTTTAGAAAACACATTTAGAAAAGGTTTTATAATATAAACTTCACTAAGCAGAATGGGTGAGACTTATTACTGGAGTTCCTGGCAGTCCTCTCTCTCCTGGGAATCCTCTCAGTCCAGGGGGTCCGTCTTTTCCGGGGCCGCCGGAGGGACCGGGATCTCCTTTGGTTCCCTCTTTACCAGAAGGCCCAGGAAGACCTTGCTCACCGGGTGGTCCTGGGGGTCCTGGGTGACCACGCTCACCCAGCTGACCAGTCTCACCAGAGGGACCCTAAACAAGAACTAGATTTGAGTAAAGCTTGTACAGTTCCATACATTTCTGAATCGATTTTAAAGATTTATTAATTTTTGAGGAATTTTATTAACAGTTTCTTGAGAAAGAAACCCATTTTGCTCGCTAAAAGCACAAAACTCACCTGTGGTCCAACAACTCCCGGTGGCCCAGGTGGTCCAGTTTTGCCTTGGAAACCCTAAGAATGCAATATGAAAAATATATGTTGCTGTTCAACTTTGATCACAGTGAATATTGCACTTTAGATGATAAAAAAATGAAAGATACGTACAACTTCGCCTCTTTGTCCAGGGTGTCCAGGCAGTCCATCTTTCCCTGGAGGTCCCTTCAAAATCAATTGACATATCAATAAGTAATAGAGAAAAACAAAAGTTCAGTTTAAGCATCAGATCAAACTAATAAACTGTTCCTTACAGGAGGTCCCTTCGGCCCAGGGAATCCATTTGGACCTTGAGGTCCAGTTAGTCCCTGTACAAAAGGAGAAACATAATAAATAAATTAAAGCTGAAGCGAAAACCTAGACTGAAAGGTTTTAAATAAATAAAATAAAGTTTTGAAAAAAGCATACTCTCTCCCCAGGTGGTCCAGGAGGCCCGTCACTGCCCGATCCGCCCTAAAACATCAGAATGTAGAAACTGATTGACTGAAATTAATTGATCTTTATTTTCATCGTTGAAAAACTACAAAAATTAGTTGAGCAACGCCTCAAACAATGTCCACTAAATTAACAACAATAAATAGAACATTAAAGGGGTCATATGATGTTGCTAAAAAGAACATTATT